GGTTATTATACACAATATCCCTATTATAAAAATGATTGTTTAGTTTTTTTTGTTTGGTCTAAAATGATTGTCTAGTTCACAACTGGTAGATAAATGACAAGAAGGCACGTCTTGCGGACCACACAATAATGTGAGAGGCAATTATTAATTTTACACATAAAAAATAAAAATAAAAGTACATGGGTAAAATCTGAAATTAATGCCATCTTACGTAAAAAACAAACAAAAAGTTATCGAAGCCAATTATTGTGTTTGCGGTCTATATTTTTATCTATTTGAATCGCCGTACTTTATAGTGGTGACTTATTTAGTTTAAAAAAAAGTTTTAACCTAAATTAGGTGGAACTACACATAAATTAGGTGGAGGGAGCCGTCTCCGTTCATAATCTAAATTGGTAATTTTCAATAATAATAATACTTTCTAGATGTTGTTATATTCAATTTGTAATTATTTTATTTGTAAAATACTTTTAAGCTTTATAACCTTTTTAATATAAAATTATCATTTTCTACACAATTAGAATTTTATACATCTATTGATTATAGATCTTATAATGAAAGAAAAGTTTAGATCTTTGTCTTAAATTGGACTAGTTAGGGGGATTTTGCCATACATTCATGATAGATTTTGTCCTAGTTTGGTCTCTATAATTTCATTTATAACTGAAAAAATCATTAAATTTACAAAACTTTAATTTTGACTCTAAGAAATGAAATGTGATACATGTATCCAGGTCCATTGTTCTATAAGGGATGGTACCATTTCTTCTATCAACACAACCCAAATGCAGCCGTGTGGGGTGACATTGTTTGGGGTCACGCCGTGTCAAAGGATCTTATCCACTGGCTTTACCTCCCATTTGCCATGGTTCCTGACCAGTGGTATGATGCTAACGGAGTCTTGACCGGTTCAGCCACATTTCTTGATGATGGTTCCATTGTCATGCTCTACACCGGTTCCACAGACAAATTCTTCGTACAGGTAGGTAAAGGTTTTTACTATCCTTTTGGTTGTATATTAGATATTTGATATCAATTTTTGATAAAATTTGTGATGAATTTGAAAAACATAAATAATTATTTCACAAGTGTATAGTATTGGGCTCGAATATATGTCTCGTAGTACTAAAAGAATTGATTAACCCGGTTAAGCTAACTACTTTTTGGGTCGATTTCTGAAATGCTTTAAATATAAATTTGGTTGGACCAATTGATAACATTAGTAATTGGCTATTTGCTATGCTTTTAGGTTCAAAACCTTGCCTATCCTGAGGACCTTAGCGACCCACTTTTATTGAAATGGGCCAAGTACTCCGGCAACCCGGTTCTCGTACCGCCTCCGGGTATCGGTGCAAAGGACTTCCGTGACCCAACAACCGCATGGAAGACATCAGCTGGAAAATGGCGGATCACGATCGGCTCCAAGATCAATAAAACCGGAATATCTCTAGTTTACGACACTACCGATTTCAAAACCTATGAGAAACACGATACCTTGTTACACCAAGTCCCCAACGTTGGAATGTTGGAGTGTGTCGACTTTTACCCGGTGTCGAAGACCAAAACTAGCGGGCTCGACACTTCGGTCAATGGACCGAATGTAAAACATATCGTTAAGGCTAGCATGGACGATACTAGGATCGATCATTATGCCATTGGGACGTATTACGATTCTAACGCAACATGGGTCCCCGATAATCCTGCTATTGATGTTGGAGTCAGTACCGGTCTGAGATATGATTACGGTAAATTTTATGCGTCAAAGACGTTTTACGATCAACATAAGGGACGGAGAATCTTATGGGGTTATATCGGTGAATCTGATAGCGAAGCAGCTGATGTACAAAAGGGCTGGGCTACTGTTCAGGTATGGTTTCTTAACCTAACGTGGTATAAAAGTTAGGGTTTTTGTTATGTTAGTTACTTGTTGTCCAAGTTAGGTCTTAAATCTGTTTTAATCATTATCAGTGCATCCCAAGAACTATTGTCATGGACACAAAGACAGGGAAGAACTTAGTCCTATGGCCAATTAAGGAAATTGAATCTCTGAGATTAAGTAGCAAGAAATTCCAAATGAAGGTTGGACCAGGGACTATGGTTCCTGTTGATGTTGGTCCCGCAGCTCAGCTAGACATAGAAGCTGAGTTCACGATCAAGAAGGACGATCTCCAAATAATCCTTGGAGATGACTCCATGGACGCCGATAAGGAATTCAGCTGCGAAAATAGTGGTGGCTCGACCGTGCGTGGTGCTTTAGGCCCATTCGGATTCTCGGTTCTCGCTGACCAAAGCTTGTCGGAACAAACTCCGGTTTATTTCTATGTGACTAAAGGGAAAGATTCAAAACTCAAAACTTTCTTCTGCACTGATACTTCAAGGTAAGTAACTCTTATCAATCCATAAATTGCATTTTAACCATATAGATTTCGGCTATAAGAGAAAATATTAATTTTGCTTAATCAAAATCTCTTTTAATAGGTCGACAAAGGCAAACGATGTTGTGAAACCGATATACGGAAGCTTCGTACCGGTCCTAAAAGGAGAGAAATTGACCATGAGAATCATTGTAATATATTATATCCTTAGAACCATAATATAATTCATTTAGTTCGTTACAAATTCAAGAATTTGATTTAGTTGTGTTGTTATTAATTTCAATTATTATTTTTTGTATAGGTGGATCATTCGATAGTAGAAGCATTCGGACAAGGTGGAAGAACATGTATTACTTCAAGAGTATATCCGACAAAAGCCATTTATGGAGCTACAAAGCTCTTCTTGTTCAATAACGCCATTGATGCGACTGTTACGGCTTCGTTTAAGGTCTGGCAGATGAACAGTGCTTTTATTCATGCTTTCTCTGCGGATGATCTTGGTGTGCCTTCTCGCACCTGATTATCTACACAAAAAGATAAGGGGATCTTTCTCTCC